ATGCACGCTTGAGGTGGCTTATGCATTAATGTTTCAGAGCTTCTTGGTTTGGGAAGAATCCTTAACAGTGGATTTCCACAGCACCAATTACTGTTTGTGGCTCTTGGAGTTTCTGGGTGAGCAGACTTGCTTCGAAGTGTGAGCTTTTCTAACTGCAGTCAGTAATGGATCCAAATACTAATGACTCCAGTAGGCTCTTAGCCTGTTAAGAGCAACACAGTATACCATGGGGCTTCTTCTTAATGATCAGGCAGATGTCATGGAACTAAAGTTAGACATGACTCATGGTAAATCCTAAGTAAAGTAAATGCCATCTATTTGGTCTCTCCCAAAACTTGTATCGACTGCTATGGCCTGTCAAAGTAGGGCGTATTTCATAACTAAACGGACTTTCTGCACTTTTGTTTCTCCTCCAGATTCTTATTACTTGTACTCAGACAAACTGAGAAGGGTTCTCATTTCCCCATGTCACAGGGGAGTTTTCTTTCTAGGAAAACCATATTATCTCTCTGTTTTGCTATTAAGTTCATGATGCTGTGAGTGTATTGCGATTGAGGAGACAAAAATAGAAGGGAAAATAGATACATCTCCAAAGGGAAAATGTGTTTCTGTTCCTGAGGACAGAACAGGACACCTGTAGGAAATGAGATTACTAGGGCCTTCTGATATCAGGAAACATAAAATCGTATTGAAGAAAATCCATTTTCAAAAAGTGACAGAACAAATCAATTGATACAAGTAAAACTCTTCCTGGGTGAGGGAAAACCCCCCAAAACTGTATTCCTTTTGACTTCCATTCTTGAAGCAGGACTGAAAGTGCAACAGAATTTCCCGTACCGTAATAAGCAAAACGTTTTGCAGTATGGAACTTAATTTGAGTTAACAGTATTTTGGAAGAAAGCTGAGAGGGTATTGAATGAAAAATGACTGAGGAATTTAAAGTATTAAGACTAAATATCTGAAACATGACCTGGGTTAGTGGAGTGAGTAGGTTGTGGTAGATTTAAAAGAATTTTGTGCCCTTTAAGGAGATGTGAGATGTTAGCTGCTAGGGAATTTTCTTGTGAAGCTGCATGGTTACACCTAGTCCATCTAGGAAATAAAAGTCACCTGTAAGTACTTTAAAATTAGGTAGGCAAGTGTGTGTGTGTATATATATATAAAAATAGTGCTTTGGTGGAAAGACAAATACTTGAAAGCGATATTAGATATGTTAAGAGTAGCAAATAATTCTCCAGTTGCAGAGACCCTTTCGTTCATATCTGTGGCTTCTTGCAAGAAGCCACAAAGTGGCTGTGAGTTTCTCCTCTTTCCTGTGTATATTTTTAGAAATGAAGTACTAGACCATAGATTAAGAAGAAACTTGTGTTCAGGATGTGTGTGGTGTAGAGAACATATTTTCATTACAGAGTAAGCATTAGCTAGAAGGGAAAAAAAGTTGGAGATTATTTAATCCCATTACAAGAAAGTTTCTATGAAACCTATTTGTGCACTTCAAAAGAGGGAACAAAACTAACATGAGAAACAGCGGGATGGAGGAGTGAAGAGAAATAGGTCATAGCTGAGTGATATTACTGAACGATCGGACAGATGCTCAGAAACAGGACAGCATGGTCAAACAGCTGTCACTGATAGGAGCATGTTGCCACCAGGACAGCTGTGGATGCTCGTGCTCTTCATAGGCTCACAAATGTATTTCTCAGCAAGAACTGAAATGCTGGTAAGAGACATTACAGTAGTATTAACCTGATGACTTTTTCCTAAAGTTCCTGCTGCTTCCGTAGATTACCAGCTTTACTTGTAACACTTATTCCTTTCTAGAAAAGAGTCATGGGTGGGGAGTCGGGCAGGGATTTGCTTCCGTCTCCCTTTAAGCCTGCGTTGTAAACGACTTCAAAGAGGAGCACGAGAACCTGAGGCATGCTGTGCTTATCAGGAGGGGTTCTGTAAACAGTCTGAAGTCATTGCCTTCTGTTAGTCAACAGGGTCAAAATGGTACTAAGTGTTAAACACCAAGCCACCTCTGTGTTGTGCGTATAGTACTATGTAAGGTCTGATACTGTAGGAAGGACTCTTGGGCATACTCATGTCATCAACTTAGGTTTACGGAATTATATGGGATTTAATGGAATTGCAAGACAAAAACTCCTTCCTCTCTTTGGCTACTTTATTGTCCTGTGTGGTCCTACATCAGGAAGGTCCTGCATCCAGACATGTTGCTGTTCCTAAGAGTGAGTCATGTTAAGAGGAGGAATCTTTGTGGGGGAGCATGACTGCCTGAGCCTATTAGCAGCAGTGCCAACTTGAAGTTACCTGCTTAAAAATAACACGGAATTTGCCATTGCAGCAGCTGGTTAATAAGCAATTGCTCTCAACTGAACAAAAAAAAACAACCAAAAAAACAATTGTAAGAACAAGAACAGCTGCTACTTCCGAAATTAAATGCAGCAGAGATCAGTCACACTGGCACTTAGCTGTGGTATGATTTCTCACCCTTCTCACACCTAATTTTAGAACAATATAAATTCATCTGCTGGTGGAAGGTGCAAGAAGGGCTTTGGACACTTCCTGTGCAGCTACTGGAGTTGGTGGTGTGAGGAAGCACCTAGAATTGATCAAGTCTGTATCCAACTGCATGTATTCTGCAGGTGATAAAGCAGCTCCAGGTCTTCTCTATGAGGGAGATTACTCTCTTAGTATGGAAATTAAGTCTTCAGGTAGATGTTAAATCCAAGTTTCTTGTTTGATGCTTTATCAAGCAGAAAGAAAATCTGAATGGATGCTGTATAAGGGAGATTAAAAGACTATTTTATTTGTCATTCAGTGTTGTGGGCTGGCTTTTTGTGTGGCTTGCCTCATTTTCTTCCTCTGTTCAGAAGTAAACCTGGCTTCCTGCCTATCTGCAGTTGCATAACCTTTTTTTTCTCATATGACCATAAATCTTTCCCAACTACCAGAAATCTACCACTACACTACCACATAGTGATAGGACAAGGGGCAATAGCGTTAAACTGAAAGAGGGTACATTTCAATTAGACAGAAGGAAGAATTTTTTACAAGGGTGGTGAAAACACTGGAACAGGTTGCCCAGAGAAGCTGTGGCTGCCCCATCCCTGAAGCGTTCAAGGCCAGGTTGGATGGGACTTTGAGCAACCTAATCTAAGGGAAGGTGTCCCTGCCTGTGGCAGGGGAGTTGGAACTAGATGATTTTGAAGGCCCCTTCCAACCCAAACCATTCTATGATTCTGAATGCTTACATGGAAAAAAATTTATTTTAGCAAGGTATTTTTAAGCAGAATTTAGTGGGAATAAGGAAAGAGGAAAGAGCCAGTATTGAATGATCAGCCATCTCTTTTTAGGCTACGAGCATGTGCTCCTTGGACCTACCTCTGCTCCATTTGGCGCTCAGGTAGTGTTCTGGTCTGCTGTTGTAAATCCACTAGTAGTATTGATATAAGACCATTAAAACACCTTTCGTTAAAAGAACTGCGCGACAGCTAAGTTTTGAAGTGGCTAAACAGTATTTTCCCTAGTGGTGAAATTAAGGTCCGCAGGAATACGCAGTGTCCACCACCTGAGGGGGGGAAAATTGTTTTCCAGTTCAGGCTTAGCTGCAGCTTCTTCAGAGTCCAATTTCACCCTGACCTTGCTGTTAAAGAAAACCAGCTATGGATAGGGTTGATCTTTTTGATGCTCCATTTATAGCTGAAAAAGTCAGCATGCCAAAATTACGATGTAAGTTACTTGGAGAAACCAACCAACCATTCCCCAAATGTTTAACTTTGGAAAGTAGCACCTTTGCATCTACAGTGCATGCTCTATGCCTGTATTTACATTGTAAATGTACTGCTTCTGAAAGGTAGCCATAGCTTTTGAAGTTCGCAATGGGGGGATTTACCTGAAGTTTAGTGTGCTGTCCTAGTGCCTGAAGCCTGTATTTTATTTAGCTTCTAGGATTTCACAAGACTGTCAATTAAGGTTTTGTACTTGAGCTTAAGTTCCTAGATAGTACTGCAAAGATATTCTTGAAGTGTTAAATATAACTTCCAACTGTATTATTCTTCTCTGTAAATACAGTAACTATGGTGCCTTTTTTGTGACAGGATCCAGTTCCAGAATAAATTCAATGATGTTTACAGGGTGTATTTAGAGAAGCTCCTCTTATAGCTGAAATAAGAGGTCTCTGTCCTAGACAGACCAGAGGAGGAGACAAAAGCAAGGTCTTAGATTATTAGATGGGAAAGTAATATTTGAGATAACACATCAAAAGCATAAACAACATAAATATTGCTGAGGGGAGAGAAAAAGCATGGGAACTGCACATATCTGCTTGCTTACCAGAGTGGTAACACGGTTAATGTGCAGCTAAAAAGGACTTGGAACAGATGGAGCTCAGTGAAATACACCAGTGGCAGAGGAATGTGATCCTAGATGTCAACCAGTCATTGTATCAAGTTAGTTCTGACACGGGAATAGTATGCTAAAACTCCGTAATACTAAAGATGACGGGAAATGAAAATAAGAGTTAAAAACTTGTCAGCTCTGTGGTGTTCCTGCTCAGAGCAAGATGGGGCTCTCTATTTAGAGGACTGTAAATCTGGATTGGTTGCCACCTATTTTTTCTGTGTAAGACTTACCTGTAGTTAATGGAGGAGTAAAATACTGGTTTGACATCCACTGGATTCTTTCTAAGACTTAAGTGGCTCTGGTAGTACCAGTACCTTTATCCTGAAAAGAATCGATGGTCACATGGGTACAAATACAGCCAAGTATTTATATGATTGTGTAACGCAGTTTTACATAAAACATCACGACCAACACTGACTATGAAATTCTGCTTTAGTGTGCTTGTGAGAGCATAGCACTGCACACATTCGTGGGCAGTATCGTGTCTCTGGACATGAATTTCAAGTCAACTCTTTGAACAGACCCAACAATTTTATGTGATTACTGTTTCTGTATTTACTGCATTTTATAATGATTTTTTCTTTTCTTTTTAGCTTTACCTTCAGGCCAGAATGAAAGGAGACTGGGCAAGACTTGTACGTCCTACTGTACAATTTGGTCTTATTGCTGCATCTATCTATGTGGGTCTCTCACGTGTGTCTGATTACAAGCATCACTGGAGTGATGTTTTAACCGGACTCATTCAGGGAGCAGTGGTAGCTGTGCTCATTGTAAGTAATTCCTGAGGGGGGTGTGTGGGGGTGCGTGTGTAAACGCTGCTTTTCTAAACAGCGCCTTAGGCTGTGTTCAGAGGAAAGCAGACCTGTCTCCACAATTTGAAAATTGCTGGAGAGAGGGGAGACAACTCCTTGAACTGGGTGTAGAAACAGTACTCCAGGGAGCGAGGCAGGCTCTGGGCCAGTGGTGAGATAAGAGGCTGTTTTAGCTGCTAGAGAAGGTGAAATTGTCCCTGACAAACAGGGACAATAACTTAGTTTTCAAATAACTAAGATGGAAACAGTCAACTGCAAAACTGTGTGGGCCTCTGGATAACCATACCTTTTGCTTCCAGCCAAATTCTAAATCTCAAGTACAACAGCAGAGAACTGTGTACGAGGTAAGCAGTGCAAAAAAAGGCCTTTGAGTATAGCGTGAAAGTGTCTGCCTCTGCCAGCTTATACAGGCTGTCTTCTCAGTCTCATGGGAACCTAAAACCCTTCACCGTGTCTTGTGTCCGTGTTCACAAGCATGCGAAGCTTAGCTGTACTGACAAGTGAAAAGCTATCCCAAGGAATGGAGAATCACCAGACTTGGAGCTGCAGGCCTGGTTGACTTAGTGGCAGCAGTTGTGTTGGCTGTCACCATAGTGCCATGGCTGATTCATCCAAGGGAAGGGACAGATCAGAGAGACTTCTGGTTTGGAGACATGAGCTAATTGAGGTGATACTGAAGGATTCAGTTAGCAAAAACTGAGGCTCACCTGGAATTACTACCTCCAAGATAAATGTTTTCTTAGCTGAAAGTCAGAAGTTCATTTCAAGACAAAGCTTTGTTTACTTGTTGCAATGAATCATCCAAGCAAATCTTGGAGGAGCTCTGGGAGTCCCTACATACTGCATTAGTCCCTACATACTGTTATTAAATGCCTCTATGTGGACTAAAACATAATCCTACCCCTGACTTTTGTACAATCTCATTCTCTAAGGAAGAGTGCAAGGAATGGGAAACTGATCAGGGATTGAAGAGCTGATTAGCAAAACAGTTATTAGCAAAACAAATTTAGTGAAGGGTGTTGGATGACTGAGAGGATATCTTAGTGATGTTTTGTTATACAAGAATGAGTAGAAGGTGGCATTACAGTGAACAGGGTTGAAAGGTGTGGAATTTTTTTTTAAAAATAAAATCCCCCAAACAAATCCCCTATCTGAAAGAACTGAAGAGTTTACCTCCAGGAACAGAAAGCTGAGGTAAGAGCGTGCTGGGGCAGCAACTGCAGTTGGAGCACTAAATCGAGTTGAGTGAATTCTGCATTAAGTGGAAGCTGAAACTCCTCTGGCATGCAGCCGAAGCAGCATACCGAGTCCTCAGCCAGCTCTCCCTGTGGAAGATGGTTTCTTCTGCTGCCCCAAACTGTGTTCTGCAGTTCTCAGGCTTGCAATGGGAGGGGAAGAGGTTATGTAGGAAGAGAAAGAGATCATGAGAGAAGGCTTTTCATTTATTGCACTTCATGCAGCGCTGTACCCAGCTTGTCTACTAGTACAGCTTGGTGAAGTGGGCAGCAGGAAGAGAGCAAGCTGCAGAATTGGATCAAGGCACCTGTCTTGTAGTCAGTATCTGTGAAGGAAGTGAGGTGCTATGTTCAAAGGAATGCAGGAAAGGATAATGTAGGTAGAGTTGGCCTTACAGCTGCTGGAGCTGTGGGTGAGATGTGTATTGGGGAGGGGGCTGCTGTGAACCTTGCCAAGGAAGGGCAAGTTTAACCAAGCTTAGTTTAACCAGCCTTTAAATAAATTCAAGTGAGAGTGACACTCCAGAGGATAACAGTTACCAACAACTACTGAACCCTCTTACTTAGCTGAAGGACAAGCTCTCCTATCCTGTTCTAAATAAATGACAGAATAAACTTAGCCATACAAGCGATGCGGGCCCTCAGCAAGCATGTTTTGCCTCTTCATTTAGAGCTGTTTAAGCTATGGCTAGTGTAATGAAGCAGATAAGGCAGTTAGCAGTTCATTACCACACAAGCCTTAAATTTGGCTTAAACCATCAGTGGCTAAGTGATCAACTTAGGGAGGCAGGTAATAGCTGGAGAAAAAGCTATTGGAAGAGTAGATGCCAGAATTTTATAGAAGACTTCCTAGCAATTATCTAATGTTTTAATTTGTTTAAACTTTTTATTAGTTTTGCTTGTGGAATTTACCTTCTGCAAAAGCATTTACCTGCTGTTTCAAAGACTTACAAGTGCAGGAATTTAACACTAATTTGTTCACTTAGGTTGTGTATGTGTCTGACTTCTTCAAAGTGAGAGGATGTACATTTCAACCAAAAGAAGATTCCCATACAACCCTACATGAGACTCCAACAAATGGAAATCACTTTGGCAGCAATCATCAACCATGAAGAATGACACACCTCACCTGTCTTGCTCTCTGAAAACATTTTCACAAGTCTAACTATGTAATATAAGTAAATGCCTTTAAGGGACTGCTGCTGCTCTTGAATGCTCACTTTACCTGTATATAGTAACATCTACCACAGTTATTGTATATCTAAACTTCACATTTCTGTTGGTTCAAGCTCTTGCTTAAAAGAAAAAAAGCTATTCAAATTGTAAATTTTCATTGAAAACATGGTAACAGTTATATTACACTGCTGTTTATTTGTACATGCCTTGTTAAAACAACTGTGGTTTAAATACACACTATTAAAGGAAACAATGACTTGAGATGGACGTAGCATGTGAAGCTGATGAATGTGTTCCATAATGTGAATCTAGTACTGTTTCTAGAAGATATCTTCTGTTACAGGTAAAGGCTTGCAGCAAACACGATATCTCTCTTGATTTTTGTAATCCCTATTAAAAAGGAAAATGTTATTAATATCCAGCAATCACAACTGACACAATCACTGTTTCAAGTACAGTCACAGGCATGTAATACTTTGCAGTGGAGCAAGCGTTACAAATCTTAAACAGAAGTCTTTGTACTCCATTTGCAGTCACAAATTCACACTACCTCTTTAAGTCAAACTTTAAAACATAGATGTTATCTGGAAAGAGAGCAATGATGCTCTTTACCATGAAGTCAATACCAGAAGCTTTTATTACCAGATCATTCACCCATGAGCTGCCCTACCTGCCCCCCCCAACTTTACTTTCAAATGCTTGCTAGAATTAATTCTCATACTGAGGCAGTGAAATACATACCCTCTGCAAATTTATTTTCTAGCTCTGTGTTTCCAATGGCTTTTGCAGCCTGGCACATCTGCCGAAGCAATTCTTCTAGCCTTCTCATGCAACGAATTATGCTACCTGTATAAAAAGAGTGAGGGAAGACTTCGTATTCCCTGCCACATCATGTCACTGAACAGTACAGTTGCTTGAGCCCACTTTGGACCAAAGCAACCGTTCCTTCTCCAAGCTTGTTCCATTTGATCTAGAAGGCAAGGGTAAGAACAGCCATAAATCTTAAGCTTGGTTTCTGTTTAACAGTAAACTTTTCCATCAGGCACTTCCTTGAAGCTACCTCCAAATGCTTGGCCTGTTTCTTGTTTTCTTCTACTATCTTCACAGCATCTAATACCTAGTCAGAGGACTTTCTGAGCTGTTTAGTAGTTCCTAGTGGATTTTTCTTTCAAGTCCTTGTTAATTAAGACTTCCCTCAAAAACCATACATGTTTAGGGGATTCACAGGTTTGCTGCTTTAAGAATCACCACACATAGGTTTTGGGGTGGAAGTGTGCTTGTTTTTTTGACAGCCCTTAGCTCTTTAGTTGGCAGAGGCAGCGAGACAATAAGTGGTCTACCTTACTACTCCTGTGCCCCTCAAGTCTATGGGACCACTCCACCTCTCCATTGCATGCCTGCAGTAATGCATACACACTCAGTCTTGATCTAGCTTCTACGCTGCAACCCAATGCATTTGTCTTCTCTTTTAACTTGCTTCTAAGCTCAGGTCAGGTCTCTCTTAACAGGGACCTAATCCTTATGCTTATCTAGCAACATGCAAACAGTATGCTGATGGTCATTTCCTCCAGCATCATCTCACACAGACAGACAGTCAAAATTACTGTACGCTATATAACTGTCATAGGGTAAATATGGGATGAAGGGACTGAGAGCAGCCCTGTGGCGAAGGACTTGGGGGTATGGGTAGATCAAAAGCTAGACATGAGCCAGCAACAAGCACTTGCAACCCAGAAAGCCAACCGTATTCTGGGCTGCATTAAAAGAAGCATGGCCAGCAGGTTCAGGGACGTCATTCTGTCCCTCTACTCTGCTCTTGTGAGACCCCACCTGGAATACTGCGTTCGGCTTTGGAGTCCCCAATACAGGAAAAACACAGACCACCTCCCCTGTGAGGACAAACTGAGAGAGCTGGATTTGTTCAGCCTGGAGAAGAGATGGCTCTTGGGAAACCTCATTGCAGCCTTTCAATACTTAAAGGGGGCTTATAAGAAAGATGGGGAGAGGCGTTTTAGCAGGGCCTGTTGCAACTGGACAAGGCGTAATGGTTTTAAACTAAAAGACAGTAGATTCAGACTAGATCTAAGGAAGAGATTTTTTTTATGATGAGGGTGGTGAAACACTGGAACAGGTTACCCAGAAAGGTGGTAGATGTCCCATCCCTGGAAACATTCAAGGTCAGCTTGGACAGGGAACAGGTTGGAGCAACCTGATCTAGTTGAAGATGTCCCTGCTTACTGCAGGGGTGTTGGACTTGATGACCTTTCTATGGTTCAATGAAATACTAGCTCTAGATAGGGCATAATATCTGGAGAAAAACTGTCCATATGAAAAGAACATTCTATGAAGTTAATGGGAAAGTGAGACATTAAGGAAAGTAAAATAACACTTCTCTTCTAAAAACATTCATATCATACCAGTAGGCCAGGTCAGCTTCTACAGTAAGAACAGTTTGTAAGAGGGCAGCAGTCTGTAAAACCTATTGCAATGACATGAGGTGAAAGAAAACCATACAAAAGCTATTGGACACAAAGCTCAAAGCTCCCCCACGCATGGCCACGCTGCGTTGTGGCAGGTCCCAGCTCAGCTCTCAAAGATCCTGCTCATCTCCATTTGCAAGGCCAACCCTGACAACCGCTCCAGGGAGTGCTCACTTACAGGCAGACATACACCACATTTTTGGAATAAATGACTATTGTCTATACTCGCTTCCACGGAACAAAACAGTCAATCTGCAATCGGCTAATAGGATACTTAGCTCAGTTTACCATTCTTCTCTCCAGCTTTAAAAAGCTGCTCTAATTTCTGTGTCTTCCCAATACACACATTTCAGCTAAATGACAACTCATTTTCATTAGCCACTCAACACTGCTCCAATCTGTAGCGCTCACGCTTGCTCTTGGACACCTGGGCTTACGCTGCAACCTGAAGAGGCAGCCATGTACTTAGCACAGCTACAGGCTTTCACACTGCTCGTAACTGCACCCAAAAGGGGTTGCAGATACTTGACCATCAATACTAACAAAATCGCAGAACACCATCTGTCTTTAGGCTTGTGAGAGTGGAAGCATGCCATCAACTCAAGATTTCTGTCTATAAAAGTTCTACTAGTGCCTGTGAGCCTGGATGTCAGCACAAAACGACGTCATTCATGAAAAGCACAGTCTTTCAGAAAGCACTTTTTATAAAAGGGGAGTGGGGGGGAGGGGGCGGGAAGGGCAATGAAAAGCTTTTTAAAAAAAAGTTCAAAAAGAGCAGTGGCTTCCAATGTACTCTCTAATGGGTGGACAATTTTCTGCCTGCCTACTAAAACTGGTGCACCGCAGTGAAGTTGGGACTTCCTGTAATAGCAGCAACTCATTATTGCAAATTTCCACATTGTCCAAAAGGCAAAGAGGAAAATATACCTCCTTTCAGAGCTTTAATAAGCGATCATGCTGTGCGCCTCATGGTAACAACCTCTATGGAAATTAAAAGCACTAATACCTAACATGAAAATTTGCATTTAAGATCACAATAAGGATGCTGTGGGTTTTGGTTTGTGTTTCGTTGTTTGGTTTTGGGTTGTTTTTTTTGTATTCTGGTTTTTAATTTCTTTGAAATCATTACAGCAACTTGGCTAACCAGGGCAAACTCCCCTGAGATTTAGCAACACCACACTGCATTTAAGGTAAGCATAACTGACAGTGGAGGTCTGAAGTGCTTTCCTTCCATTTGGAGAATGCACAGAAAACCAGCCTATTAAAAGTTAAGAGAAGAATCACACATCAACCTCTGGCACAAGAGCTGAACTTCTCAAAGCAGGCCCGTAAGATCTAATTTTGAGAGATCTAGCACTGTTGACTAGGACAAGGCTGACCGACTAGCCTTAGCCCAGGTATGGTAAATAGAAAACATGACTGCCTTGTCTATTCTAAACAGTCCGGTGCCAACATAAAAAAAAAAAGCCAGCTACTGCTTCTCCTTTTGTATGCCTCCTACTCAGGGTGCCTCTACAGCAGATGTAAGGCTCAGACATTTATTGCAATAGGAAGAACCTGATGAATGCAGAATCAAAGACTGCTAAGACTCCCGTAAGGCAACCTGCTTTAGAAAGTTCCTGGGATGACAGAAGTGCATGAATTCTTTTGGTTTAAGGGCTCCCATTTGCAGCTGTGTACGTGCAAACAAGGAAACAGCATTTGAGAGAGGCAAGACAATGGTGACAGTAACAACGTCAAAAAGGACTTTCAAGTCTCAGTCATTACACACAGACTTGTAAGACTGGTGCACCCATCCTACTGTTCTTCACAACTTTCAACATAGCTGATGTAAGATTAATTTAGGTTTCTCATTCTGGTTTGACCTTCAGGTGGATGGTATCTTTCTCTTACAAATTATCTGGGCTTTAAGTCATCCTATTTTTAAAATAATGAAAACTAAGTATCCTTCCTCAAGGGGCAGTTTCCAGTAGTCCAGTTTTAGGAAACAAATTAACGCAGGTGACAGGTTACGTCAAGGCTTTTCAAACATCTGCATTACACTACTGTGATAAACCATCCAAAATAGAGACTTGATTACCACTTCTTACTTCTGTCACAATTAAGACAGCAGGAGGAACCTTCGATTCAGCAAGTCAGTGAAACATTTAACTGTAAGGAGGACAAGCACAAAAGCTGTCCTTCTCAATGGCAAGCATTTGGAACATTTTTCCCTTTAACTAGCAAAGGTATGTGTTACGTTTTGTTGCAATACTTAGGATTTCTTATAGAAAGTTCTTTAAATGTAGTGATATCCCTTTAAAAAAATCTTCTATATTTTCTTAATTATCAACAGTGTAACTACAAATTAACATATACAGTAACCAAATTTTTCCCCACTTAGTTTCACCTGTGCAGGTACTTGAATGCATCTGAGTTAATATGTTTTGTGATCTATTATGTTATTCAGAATTACCATTCCATGTTATGGAATTACTATCTCACACCTCCTGAGGAAGAAACGATTAACATACCTTCAAAGACATCAGTCATTTTACAGATGTGAGCAAAGTTAGCTCCGTTTGCCCATGTATACACAACATCCATTAGGTTGGGTCTGAAAGAATTTAAGTAATTTTCTTCATCAATTTCCAGTTTTGCTTCTGCCGACACCTTGGCGATTCTTTTTGCACACTCCTTTAAAATAAAGTATTTTAAATTTATAATACACTTAAACGGATCAAGTGTTTAAACAATAGAAAGGCTTGCATATTATTAAGTACTGCATACA